AAAAAAAAAAAAAGTGTTTCTGTGAACAAGGAAGAAATTGCAGTGCCTTTCCCACCAGCCTCGCAAGTCATGGAGCATCCGTGTGGCAAGGGTTACGAGTGAGTCATAAGAACCCTCCATTTTCAGGGAAGAGGAACTAGACTCCAACTCTCTTTTTTTTTTTTTTTTTTTTAAGTAGACTCCATGCCCAGCGCAGAGCCCAATGCAGGGCTTGACCCTGAGATCGAGACCTAAGCTGAGATCAAGCAGACTCCAACTCTTAAAGGGGGAAGTAAGCAGGGACAGGACATATCTTTGGAAACTGGGAAGTGGCACACCAATTCAGCTGCTCTAGCAATGGCTAATGTAAAAGTGGCTTAAATAACAGTGAAGTTGATTGACCTCTTGTGTAACAGTCCGAGAGAGTATGCAATCCCCGGTGACATTAACAGGGAGTGAATTTCCAGTGTCAGGGACTGCCTGCTTAATTTTCTTTGTCAACTTGACTGGGCCACAGGGCACCCAGATATCTGGTCGAACATTCTCCGGGTGTTTCGGGTGCGATTAACATTTAAATTGGTGACTTGGTAAAGCAGACTAGGCTCCCTGCTGTGAGTGAGCCCATCCAATGAGATGAAAGGCCCATCCTCCTCAGAGGGAGAAAGAATTCTTTCTGCCTGATTGCCTTCGACCTGGGACATGGGCTTTTTTTCCGGCATCCAGACTCACACTGAAACATCAGCCCTTCCTGCATTTCCAGCTGCCCGCCTTCTGATGAGACCTACACCATCAACTGTCCTGGTACTCAGGCCTTTGGACTCGGACTGGAACTAAACATCGGCCTTCCTGGGTCTCCAGTTCACCAACTTGCCCTGCGGATCTCAAGGCCTGCCTACCTCCATAATTGTGTTTTTCTTCTAGCCTTCTAGCTTGTGGGTCCACCATCTGCAACACGTGGTTTCCATCTCGTGGGGGAAGAGGACACGCCAATGCCCGACACAGCTCTCTTCCAGTCCCAAGAAGGGAGAGGTTGAAAGGGAGGCCAT